CTTGCCTTGCCTTGCCTTGCCTTGCCTTGCCTTGCCTTGCCTTGCCTCCTCTCAACTCCCCTCCGCTCCCCTTCCCTTCCCTCCGCTGTGGCCTGATGTCCCCCTGTTACGGAAGGCTTACCAGCCCAAAAAAAGGGGAAGGGAGAAGGGGGAAGGTTGGGAGAAGGGAGCTGGGCCCATAAGAAACAGAACAGCGCCAACAATCTAAGGAGGAAACTTAATTTGATATCGGATTGCTAGATAACAGAATACAACACAATACAATAGGAATTGAGAGCAATTAAATAAAATGAGAGAGAGAGAGAGAGACACAGTGTCTGAAATCAAAGGCCCTACTCTGATTTGAAGGCTGAGGAGCTCTGGAGAGCCTGGAGTGCTGCAGGCTCTGCATCCTGTGCAGACAGCTAACGAGGCTGGACGGTTCTCACAAAACTGGGGCGCTTCTACAGTCTGCCTGCTTCGTGGACGCATGCGTGGCAGCTGAAATTAGAGCTGCTCTTGAAGCTCTTGCCACACTCGAGACACTTCAAGGATTCCTCTCCTTTGTGGACGCCCCGGTGGCGCTTCAACGCAGAAATGCTTTTGAAGCCCTTCCCACACTCGGAGCACTTAAAGGGCTTCACCCTCGTGTGGATGCGCTGGTGCATGGCGAGGTTGGAACTGGTTTTGAAGCCCTTGCCACACTCAGGGCACTGAAAGGGTCTCTCACTGGTGTGAACGCGCTGATGGTAGGTGAGGTAGGAATTCCTCCTGAAGCTCTTCCCACACTCAGAGCATTTGAAGGGTCTCTCTCCGGTGTGGATGCGCTGATGGTAGGTGAGGTAGGAACTCCTTTTGAAGCCCTTCCCACACTCGGAGCACTTAAAGGGTCTCACCCCCGTGTGGATGCGCTGGTGCACTCTGAGGTTGGAACCGCTCTTGAAGCTCTTGCCACACTCAGAGCATTTGAAGGGTCTCTCTGTGGTGTGAATGCGCCGATGGTAGGTGAGGTAGGAATTCCTTTTGAAGCTCTTCCCACACTCGGAGCATTTAAAGGGTCTCTCTCCGGTGTGGATGCGCCGGTGGAAAGTGAGCTGGGAATTCCTTCTGAAGCTCTTGCCACACTCGGAGCACTTAAAGGGTCTGTCTGCGATGTGGGTGCGCTGGTGCACCCTCAAGTCGAAACTGCTTTCGAAGCTCTCCCCGCATTCGAGACACTTCAAGGATTCCTCTCCTTTGTGGACGCCCCGGTGCTGCTTCAATTCAGAAATGCTTTTGAAGCCCTTCCCACACTCGGAGCACTTAAAGGGCTTCACCCCTGTGTGGATGCGCTGGTGCATGGCGAGGTTGGAACTGGTTTTGAAGCCCTTGCCACACTCAGGACACTTAAAGGGTCTCTCACCGGTGTGAACGCGCTGATGGTAGGTGAGGTGGGAGCTCCTTTTGAAGCTCTTCCCACACTCGGAGCACTCATAGGGTCTCTCTCCAGTGTGGATGCGCCGGTGCACAGCGAGCTGGGAACTCCCTTTGAAGCTCTTGCCGCACTCAGGACACTCGTAGGGCCTCTCTCCCGTGTGGATGCGCTGGTGCACCCTGAGGTTGGAACTGCTCTTGAAGCCCTTCCCACACTCTGAGCACTCACAGAGGTTCTCTCTCGCGTGGACTCTCTGGTGGAACTTCAGCTCGGAATGACTTTTGAAGCTCTTCCCACACTCGGAGCACTGGAAGGGCCTCTCTCCTGTGTGGACGCGTTGGTGCACTGTGAGCTGGAAAGTCCTTTGGAAGCTCTTCCCACACTCAGGGCACTGGAAGGGCCTCTCTCCTGTGTGGACGCGCCGGTGCTGGGTGAATTTGGATCTCCATCTGAAGCTCCTTCCACAATCAAAGCACTTGTACTGGCTCTTCCCAGAGCGCTTGCGCTGGCGGTTAACCAGGTTGGCACACCTTTTAAGGCTTTTCCTACGCAACACACGCAGATTCAGCTTCTTCTGGCCCGCTTCCTTGCTCCTCAGGTCTTCAGTCTGCTTTGGACCTGTGCTGAAATCCACAGGCTTCCTCGGCCTCTCTCCTGGATGCTTTCCCAGGGGCTTCTTGAAGCGCCCCGCTTGCTCCAGGCGCCCCTGGACATCCTTTCTGATCCTTCCCACGGAGCCGCGGCCTCTCCGCCTTTTGGCCACACCACTTTTCTGCAGACCCTTCTTTAGATTTGTGATCTCAGCTCCTGCTGGATGACAGAGGAAATAGAAAAGTACCACGCGGCACCCCTAACATTCCCCCACCAGAGAGGGCTTTTGCAGCCCTAACCTCCTCCTTCCCTCCACCACCTCACCTGGGCTGAGTTCTGACAGCGCCTCAGGGCTGCGCACATCTGGGATGCAGGGGTTGCCCCCTCTTTCAAGCAGGGAGATCACGGCAGGTTTGGGGGCTGGAAGTGGACCTTCAACGATAGAAACAGTGGAGGTGAGAGCGCTGCCACCCCTCTGGCACAGTCCTACAACTCCGCTCTGTGTTCCTCCACCATTGAAACCACAATTGTGCGAAACCTAACTGACGCCGGCCCATCACACGCTGCCTTCCACTGGAGCCCAGCATGACTCTGGCATCGCCAAAAACTATTTTTTTCGGAAATATTTCCTTTAAAATTGCCTTTGAAAGGATTTGATCATTTTCACCCCAGTTCCTCAATGCCAAAGGCATCAGAAAGCTTCATGGGAGCTGAACAGAAAACTTTCTAAAGGAGTAACTGGGGTCAGCACTGTTATGCTGCAGCTGGAGGCACAAGAGCTGTTTGCAGGGAGCTCATCCTCCCCCTCCGAGCTGATGTCTGCTTGCCAGCAGTGGCTCTGGGGCTTTTATCAGAATGCACTAATCCCTTCTGAAACTGCTGCTTCGGTTTCCTTTGCTCTTGTTATCAGCGTGTTGGTCAATAAGTAACTGCATGGTAGAATATGCCCTGCTTGCAGAGGGTGGCCGTACAGCCAGAGGTGCCCTAAGGAGGAGGAAAGGCAGCAGAGCCCTCACCCAGCGAGGCCAGGCACTGGTACGTCTCCAGCATCACGTCCCGGTACAGCGCTCGCTGCGCAGGGTCCAGCAGCGCCCACTCCTCCCTGCTGAAATGCACGGCCACCTCCGCAAAGCTCACGGGCTCCTGCAAGCAAAGAGGCTCCTTGCTGGGAGCAGCCAAGGCCCGGGGAAGCAGCTCAAACAGGACACAAACTCCAGCCCCAGCCCTTCTCCATCCCCAGCACACACACGCTGGCTGAGGCCACCTCCCTCCCCCCTGCATTCACGTCCCTCGCCCTTTGCCCTCTCCTGCCTGCTTCCCCAGCCCCTACCTGAGATGGCTGTGCTGAGGCCATCTGCTGCTCTCCTGCAGGCTGGGATGATCGCGGCTGGAAGGCAGGAGTTGAACTGGAGCCTGCAGGGAGAAGACAAACGGCAGGAGAGCTGTGAGGGAACGCAGCAGCCCCTGCCCAAGCCCAGCCCTCCCCAACCCATCTGCAGGGCACTTGCACAGGAAGACAATCAGCAACAGCACTGGTGAAACTCTGGCTGGAACAGATGAACCAGCACAAACTGGGGGGCTGAAAGAACGGAGAGCAGACACTGAGGCAACAAGTGAGGGGCGAATGCGCGTGTCACAGAGCGGACTGGATCCACCCACGTCCGTGACGGGGGCTTCATGGTGGTGGTTTAAAGCGTGGGTAGTGTTGTTTGTGAAATCAGCTATTCCGTTAGGGATGGAGCTGTTTGTGAAATTAGCCGTTCCTTCTGGGATGTCCAAATCCAAACCATACCACGTTGCATATGGGTAAAATATAGGCGTCTCCACCAGTGCCATCAGGTAGCCATACACGGATGCAATTCCACAGCACATAAATATGAGCTGGATTATTGGCCATTGCTTTTAATCCTTTACGCAGCGCCCCCACGATAACGAGTTCATCGCTGGTGCCTGCTAAAAAGGGGTTAATGAATTGCAGCTAACGAGAGGAGGGGAAAAAAAAGAAAAAAGGCCCTACCCAGACTGAGCAGTGCTCAAAGTTTACAAAGATCCCAGAATGCTGGCAGCACGCCTCATCTTTCAAGGTCAGGTTTTCCAGCACAGAAACCTGAGCTACTGATAATGCTCCGTAACGAAGCTCTCTAAGAGCTGAGAGAAGAAGAGATTTGTTCTAAAAGCTAAAAAGCAGCTCTGCCTGCATTCTCCACCAAAATCTGTCACGCCATTGACCAGATCAGTCGATGTCCATAACAGGGAGGCAACAGGCCTCTGCCCTCCCCCCCCCCACCCCAGTGCCACAAAAATGGGAAGGAAGGAAAGGAAGAAAAGAACAGCGGCAACAATCTATGGAGGAAAACTTATTTTACTATAATACCGGAATACAAGATAACAAAACACAATACAATCTAATTGAAATTGAGATGAATAAATCAGACAAGATGAGAGAGAGAGTTCCCGGGACCGAGTCAAACCTGAACAGCTTGGAACGGCCAGGAAAGCACCTCCAGCACCCACTGCAGGTCAGAAAGAGAGCGCCCCCCCCACCCGGCAGGGCCAGATCCCGTGACTGCTGTAATGTACAGGGATGGGAACCTGGGACTGGGGCAGTGACACTTTAATGCCCCGTACACTACATGATGTTTTGATGTGGAATACTGAAACCAAAAACAAAACAAAACAAAAAACAGAACCATGACAGTGCATCAGACCACAGACACAGCATGGCAAGGAGCCGGTCACCTTACCCCAAACGGATGGCAGCCCAAGTGCCCCTGCAGTTCTTGCACAGCAGCAGGCTGCACAGCAGGATCTCCCTTCGACCAGAGCTGCCTCCCAAGGTCCTGCACTGAGATCTCTTGCACCCTGACGTCAATCCCAGCCTCGCCGATGCTGATCTTCTGCAAGAGACGCGTGGTTACACTGAAGCTTTGAGAGCTTCTCTAGGGTTATTTCTTAGACTGGCATACGATCCCATAGACATCAGCCCTGATCAAGACCTGGCACAGCAGTGGATCCGTCTGCTGCAAAGGCTCCTTGCCTTTGTGCTTCTAGTTGAGAAAGCAAGGTCAACCCTGAGCCTCGTGACTGAACAGCAGGGCCGTCTGTAGGTGCGTGTTAACCCTGTGCAGCAAGTAACCGAGTGGATTCAGCCGTCTCCACTCCTGTCAAGGCGCTGTTAAATCACTACAGCGTATCTGTATTACATTAATAGAGTCCTGCATCCCCCTTAGGAGCACGCATTGTATTTGGAGCCACCCGTGACAACCATTAGGGGCCACACAAGGATGAAAGGCGAGAGGTGGTGCCTGCAAAATGCCACGTTTGGGAGTTGCAACACGAAGCAAAGGAGAACTGAAATAAACAGGAGCAGGGGACAGAAACTAAAGCAAAGGAAAATCAGTCTGAAGTATTACGGACAAATGTCTGAAAGCGGAGTGATTGATCCTGCAGAAAACCAAAGAAGCAAACAGAAAACATGAACCCTGGGCATTCCTAGGGGCGTTGTTCTTAATCAGCCTCCTGCCATTATTTTCAGCCTAATTGTAGCGTTGCAGACGCTGGCTAAGAGTGAAGGAAAGGAGAGCATTTCAGCTCCTGCACTGTCGGGGCCAGCAGAGAAAGGAAAGCGGCTTCCCAGCTCCCCTGTCTACCACCAGCAGAGGAGCAGCAGGGCCTGAGGTCAGAACAAAGGATGCCCAAAGGCTTTGGTCACTCCTGCCCCAGGAAAAAGATGATCTGTGAACGAACGGCGACAGCCACACATTCATGTTAATGCCAGATATCCTACGGACCACCTGGGAAAGCCTTTTTCATAAACATTCAAACACAAATGTTGGTGCCGACCCAATTCCATTCCGGGAAGCTGGGCGTGCAGTTCAGACAGCGAGGAGTTAAAGCTGAAATGGGACAAATCGTTGTGTACCAAATCTGGCTTCCGGACCAGAAACGCGCGCCAAACACTCCTCTGCAATTGTAAACCATCCTGAAAAGCACTCAGGTCTCAGTGACTGAAATGGACGGCCTTGGGGCCCGCTCCTCCGGTCCAAACACTGATCCCAGCCCCAGAGAAACAGGGAGACGACAGCGCGTCCTCTGCGCCCTTCTCCCCGAATCGAAATCCTCAGCTCCATCTCTGCTGCTGCGTGGGGTGGGAGCTGCGATGTTCCTGCTGTCACCCACCTGCCTCTATGGCACACAGACTGAGCTCCTTGACTCCACAAAGAAACGCTGTAATTAAAGATCCTTCCTCTGAACAGGCGGTGCAGCAGCAGCAGCAGCAGCAGCACGTCTGCTTATCATCTAAGCTAGCTGCAGGCCAAGAAACTGGAGAAATGGGAAAAAGGAATTGGTCCTGGCGGTAAAGCAAGCGGAGAAATACATCAGGGACAGCCTGTGCCGCCTTGGGGGGCTTTGAAGTGCCTGGAAACACCAGGGGGACGGGCTGCGAAGAACTGCTAGAAAATGGTAAAGAGAAAATCGCCAGGGACGTGCAGAAAAGCACCCAGCTCGTTGAGTCCCCAGCTCATTGCGCACCCAGCTCGTTGAGCACCCAGTTCTGTTGAGTCCCCAGCTCTGTTGAGTCCCCAGCTCACTGAGCACCCAGCTTTGTTGAGTCCCCAGCTCTGTTGAGTCCCCAGCTCACTGAGCACCCAGCTCTGCTGAGTCCCCAGCTCATTGAGTCCCCAGCTCTGTTGAATCCCCAGCTCATTGCGCACCCAGCTCGTTGAGCACCCAGTTCTGTTGAGTCCCCAGCTCTGTTGAGCACCCAGCTCATTGAGTCCCCAGCTCATTGAGTCCCCAGCTCTGTTGAGTCCCCAGCTCGTTGAGGAACGCTCTAAGCGCAGCCCCCAGCACCCGCACGCACCGAGCCTCAGCGCAGACCCAGCTGCCAGCAGCGCAGCCTGCCGGAGCACCGCCTCCACCGCCGGTATGGAAGCGGGCAGGGCGCGCAGCCCTCGGGGAAGGCAGCGTCGGGACGCTCCTCCGCTCCGCTCCTCCTGCAGACGGCAACGCCGTGCCCACGGTGGGTGACGCGCCGCGCCCCGCTCGTTCTCACCTGCTCTGCTGGGAAGAAGTCGGCCGTTCTCCTGGCAGCGGCACCGACGGCTCCGTCTGTGCGCAGAGCGGCCCGCAGCGCTGAGCGCCGTCACATCCCGGCAGCTGCAGCCTGGGAGGTGACAGCGCCGACGGCGCCGCTCGGAGCGACCTTCAGCGGGGGAGGGGAGGGGACAGGAGGGGAGCGTGGGGGACACGGAGCAGCGGAGCCCAGCAAAGGTCGAGCCCCGTCCCGTCGGAAGGCAGCCGTCCGTGGCCGTGACGGAAGAGGAGTTCCGGGCTCGGCTTGGGCTGCCTGGACCGGGCCGCCGGGCGGAGCGGAGCCGCCGCCGTGATGACGCGGGGCGGGGGGCGGCCGCAGGACGGGCTGCGCTGCGCTGCGCTGCGTGCCGCACTCCGGGGGGGCGGCCGTGGGCTCTGCGGCGAAGCCTCACGGCCGGAGCTTTCATTGCTCGTGAGATTTCCAGCCCGCAGTTCGTGTCTGGCACGAGCGGAGGCGATGTTTGCTGAGCCTGGGCGGAGACGAGATACACCCCCTTCCTTCGCTGCTGTAGTTTCAACTGAACGGTGTGGGCTACTTAACCAACAGCGTTGCTGATGATAGCAACGAAGGCGTGACGGATTTATCTGTTTTTGTGATGGCTTAACCCGTCAAGAACTGAAGTGATTTGGGAGTAAAAGTGGTGTAAATGTGGGAGGAAATGTGGAGCAACGTGAGTGTAAATATGGACTGAATGTGGGTTAAATTGGAAGTAAACGTGGAGTAAAGGGGGAGTAAATGTGGGAGAAAATATGGGGTGAATGTGGAGTGGATGTGATGTGGGAATAAACCTGGAGCAATGTGGGAGGAAATGTGGAGAAAATGTGGAGTAAATTGGAAGTAAACGTGGAAGACAATGTGGAGTAGATGTTGAGAACTGTGGGAGAAAATGTGGAGTAAATGTGGAGTGATGTAAATGTGGAGTAATTTGGGAGTAAGCCTGGAGTAAAATGGAGTAAATGTGGAGTTAAGTTGGAGTCAATGTGGAATAAATGTAGATTATTTTGGAAGTAAATATACAGTGCAGTGGGAGTAAAGGGGGAGTAAATCCGTATTAAAGTGGGTGTGAATGTGGAATGAACTTGGAGTAAAACTGGAGTAAGGGGGGTGTAAATGTGGAGCAAAGGGGACAGATCCAGGATGGGGGTGTGAATGGGGAGTGAAGTGGGAATAGGAGGAGTAAAGGGGGTGTAAATCTGGAATAAATCCGGAGTAAAGAGGGTGTAAATGTGGAGTAAAAGGAGTGGGTCTGTGATTGGGAGCGTAAGTGGGGGTGGGAGCTGGAATACACTGGGAGTAAATCCGGATTAGAGATGGAGTAAATCCGGAGTAAAGTGGTGTGAATGCGGAATGAAGTGAACCTGGAGTAAAACTGGAGCGAGGGGGGTGTAAATGTGGAGTAAAGGGGGTGGATCCAGGATGGGAAGTGAGTGGGGAGTGAAGGGGGGGTGGGAGGGGTAAAGGGGTGTAAATCCGGAGTAAAGTGGGCGTAAATCCGGATTAAGGAGCTGCGGGATTCGCGCCACATTAAAGAGGGGGAACCTCAATTGCTGGCGGAACCACCGCGCTCGATATCCGTTTCTCGAGCGGACCAACTTCCGGTCTAGAAGCCACTTCCGCCCTCATTTCTCCCATTGCGGTAAAGAGTAAGAAGGGCGCGGCCGGGACATAAGCCACGCCTTTCGTTTCCGGTTTCTGACGCACAGTGGTGACGTCATTTCTGCGCCGCTTCCGGCGCCGCCGCCATTCCTGTCTCCGGACCGGCCCGGCCCCACCGGAACCGCCCGCGGGGTCGGGCCCGGATCCGCCATGGCTGAGGACTACCGGGACCGGGAGAGGCGCTGAGGCGGTAACGGAGGCAGCGGGGGAACCGGGAGCGGAGGGAAGGAGGGACCGGAAGCATCACTGAGAAACGCTGGGATCCATTGAGAGCCATTGAGACCCATTGAGAGCCATAGGGACCCCTAGAAATCCCATAGAGAATCATAGGGACCAGTAGAGACCCCTAGAAATCCCACAGAGAATCATAGGGACCCGTAGGGAGCCATAAAAATCCCATAGAGAATCATAGGCAGCCATAGAGAGCCCTAGAAATCCCATAGAGAATCATGGGGACCCGTAGAGAATCATAGGGACCCATAGAGAGCCCTAGAAATCCCATAGAGAATCATGGGGACCCATAGAGACCCCTAGAAATCCTATAGAGAATCATAGGGGCCCATAGAGACCCCTAGAAATCCCATAGAG